TGCTCGCACGCTCAGGCTCCTGGGGACCTTTGCTTTCCTGGCTCGGCTTGGGGACTGAACCAGGGCTCTGAGCGCCTTCTGAACTTCTGGTAAGTTCAGGTGCCCTCCCTGCGACTTCCTAAAGGGGGCATGTTTGTGTTGTTGGTTAGCCCGAGCTTCCTCCTTTGCAACAGGTAACACGCGGCTGCCCCGCAATTAGAGTAACCGTGTTCAGAATCACTGGAGACCACACAGACTCACGGCCCGGGTGCGGCGTTTGCAGGGTTGGTGTAGCTGCAGTGGTCCCAGGGTAGGAAAGAGAGAAGTTTGGTAAAGCTAGAGCTTTCTATTGGACCAAGGTCTGTTGGTGGAAGGACCAAGCTTCTGAGCTTCTGCGAGCTCTTCTGTCGGTGGGTCTGGAGAATAAAGTAGAGTGTCCACGCTAAATACAAGGTGGGACAGATCCTTGAGCATAATGTTGTACGAGCTGACTTAAAATGAAGTGGGCAATATCACTTCTGCAGTCCTAGGACTATGGAGAGTTATTTTAGGCAGCAGGATGGTTCCAAGCTGTTGTAAAATGGACCATGAAACCAGCGTCTCTGTTAAATGGATGGTTTTTAGTATCCAGTGGTTATGAATTTAAGTTCCCAGGCTTGTCTTTTGAAAGTGGTGTGCAGGTTTCCTTGATGAGCCTAGAAATGTCAAGTCCTATTTTTACTGGACAGAGTGGCTATATTCTGCTTGCTTTAACTCCTTCTTGGCTCTAAGGAAATAGAAAAATACTATGATGAAAGGGAATGAACTTGGTGCTGTTTTCTATACAGAGAGCTGAACAGCATGGACCTGAGGTCATCTTACGCCCTGTTGACGGATGTGATTCAGGAGTCACTCTCGTAGAGTCAGTGGAATTACCCTGATGTAAAACTGGTGTAAGTGAGAAGAGAATCAGTGCCCATGACTGGTGGAATAGATACCATGAAAGAAGATGCCAGGGGAATACATGTTTGCAGTGTGTTGTAGCTGTGTTGGCCGCAGGATATTAGAGAGAGGAGGGGGGTAGGTAACATCTTTTACTGAACCAACTTCTGTTGGTGAGAGACAAGCTTTTGAGCTACACAGAACTCTACTGGTCTGGGAAAGGTAACTAGAATGTCACAGTTAACTACAAGGTGGAAGGATTGTTTAGCATCAGTAGTTTGCATATCGTAAGGGACCACAGGACATAAGGAAGGCAAATAATTGTAATAAATCAGTGTCTTCATCAAGACTGTGATTTGTAGTCTCTAGTGAAGTGATGAATGTAACCGCTCAGGCTCATCTTTTTGAAGGTGTTGTGCAGGTTTCCTTTGAGGCTGAGAACTGAGAGGTCAGCTACGGAGTGATCGCTTTGTGAAAAGTGTTTGCCCACCAGTGTTGTGGTGTTTCTGTCTCCTTTTTACTGTGTGCATCCAACAACACTGCAATGTGGCTTTGCCCACATAATTATTGTGGAAGAAATAGCAAACGGAATCACGATCCAAGACCCGAGCTTTCTTACAAATATGGTGGTATGTCAAAGCAGTGAAATAGAGGGTTCTGAAGCCCTTAAATTACTGTTCCCTTCTGCACTGAATTACCTATTTTGCTTTATGGTGGTGCAGTAAGAAGCAAAGCTCACCTAAAATAAGACTTACATGAGTTGTGGGAAGTTTAAATGAAAAACTTCATTCAGTGGCATGGCTCAGTCTCCAAATTATTAGACTAAGACTGTGATCCTGCAAAGACTTAATCTTCTGCACTGTGACTAATCCCAGTGGACTCAATGGAACTACTCAGTGTGTCAAGTTAAACCTGCTCATGCTCACCCATCTAGGGCCCTCTGTATCCTATCCCTACCCTCCAGCATATCTACCTCTCCTCCCAGTTTAGTGTCATCTGCAAACTTGCTGAGGGTGCAATCCACACCATCCTCCAGATCATTAATGAAGATATTGAACAAAACTGGCCTGAGGACCGACCCTTGGGGCACTCCACTTGATACCGGCTGCCAAGTAGACATGGAGCCATTGATCACTCCCCGTTCAGCCCAACAATCTAGCCCGCTTTCTATCCACCTTCTCGTCCATTCATCCAGCCCATACTTCTGTAACGTACTGTCAAGAATACTGTGGGAGACTGTGTCAAAAGCTCTGCTAAAGTCAAGGAACAAGATGTCCACCGCTTTCCCCTCATCCACAGAGCCAGTTATCTCATCATAGAAGGCAATTAGATTAGTCAGGCATGACTTGCCCTTGGTGAATCCATGCTGACTGTTCCTGATCACTTTCCTCTCCTCTAAGTGCATCAGAATTGATTCCTTGAGGACCTGCTCCATGATTTTTCCAGGGACTGAGGTGAGGCTGACTGGCCTGTAGTTCCCAGGATCCTCCTCCTTCCCTTTTTTAAAGATGGGCACTACATTAGCCTTTTTCCAGTCGTCCGGGACTTCCCCCGATCGCCATGAGTTTTCAAAGATAATGGCCAATGGCTCTGCAATCACATCCACCAACTCCTTTAGCACTCTTGGATGCAGCGCATCTGGCCCCATGGACTTGTGCTCATCCAGCTTTTCTAAATAGTCCCGAACCACTTCTTTCTCCACAGAGGGCTGGTCACGTCCTCCCCATGCTGTGCTGCCCAGTGCAGCAGTCTGGGAGCTGACCTTGTTCATGAAGATAGAGGCAAAAAAAAGCATTGAGTACATTAGCTTTTTCCACATCTTCTGTCACTAGCTTGCCTCCCTCATTCAGTAAGGGGCCCACACTTTCCTTGACTTTCTTCTTGTTGCTAACATACCTGAAGAAACCCTTCTTGTTACTCTTAACATCTCTTGCTAGCTGCACCTCCAGGTGGGATTTGGCCTTCCTGATTTCACTCCTGCATGCCCGAGCAATATTTTTATACTCTTCCCTGATCATTTGTCCAATCTTCCACTTCTTGTAAGCTTCTTTTTTGTGTTTAAGATCAGCAAGGATTTCACTGTTAAGCCAAGCTTGATGATTACCTGTTCTGTTCAGTCCCTATTGGCACCTGGCATTGGCCACTGTCGGAGGACAGGACTCTGGGCTAGGTGGACCTTTGGTCTGACCCAATATGAATGTTCTTATGTTACAATAGTGGATCCTAAAAGTATGTCACCTACAGAAAAGCCAGTGGTCATTGGAAAGAAGCCCACACCAGTCACTAGAATTTATCCTCTCTGAGCCTGAGAAGTTGGCTGCATCCTGTAGAGGCAGGGTTGCTCTCCAGGGTAGGGACACAGAGGAATAACTACAAAGCAGCTCAAGGAGGGGAACTTGCCTGTAGGTTGTAGCCTGGATCACATGACTGTGGTGTGTGGCTCTAAGGGTTCACTGGGGCTGATTTGCAGGGCAGGGAGACCAGCCCAAACGGTGGGCCCTACTCTTGCGGGCAGCCTCTGCCCTGCACTGGTGGGGCTGCGAAGTGAGAGTCACTCACACCTGGGTGCTCAGCACAGCAAGGCCGAGGCAGTGCTTAATTTGTACTGAAAGAGGTACCGAGGCTCCAGCAATTTTCCCCCTGTAATAACTGACGCAGCAAACCCAGCGGTGCTGGGGCTATTCGGCACTGGGAAGTGGCCTGCGGGCCCTAAGCCTGAAAGTCTCGGGTTGGCAAGTTCAGACCCAGCCCAAACCTCACACTTGTAGTCGGGTCCTGCGTGCGTCAGGTTGTAAGGCTTGATACCCCACCATCTCACAGGCTAATATAAGGAAGCAGCAAGCCTCTCATTTGCTTCAGTGGGAGCAAGATAGGGCCCCCATGGTGTGTGGTCCAGCCCAAATTCCATAAGGAAGCAGCAGTTGGTCTTTCCACCCACTAAATTATATGTCCGTGGACAATGTAGTGAATCTGTGCCTATAGGTCTAACAGTTAGGATGTAACTAGATAGAGGGATACTGCACTTTTACAAATTTCGACAAATGCTCCCCCCCCCTTTTTTTTTAGAGCTAGAGCGTTGCACATGCCCTGAAAATTACTTTATATATAAAGCAAGTGTCTTCTAGGCTCTTTCCTTGGAACTGTCTTGTTTCCTATAACAGCAACGAATCATTATGTGCCTGATCTTGCAGGGTGCTTTAAGCACGAGTCATCTCATGGAATGTTAAGCAAATGTGCAAGACCTCACAGCTTTCATAGCCACAAACCACTTTCCGAGGCTAAATTTCCCTTCACAATGAGGTCTGCAGATGAGGAGTTTATCTATTGCAACTCTGGACCCAAGAGTCTGTTAAAAGCAGACAAACATTCAATAAAATAGGGAAGGGGAGGAAGCTTGAAGGCAGGTGTGTATTGTGGAAGTATAACATTGTATAAGGGGACATGCTGGATACATTGTATATGAGAGGGCATGCCAAAACATGTTACAAAGTATCTGAGGGAGCACACGTAGGGACAGTTAGCTTTTGAATGGAGTAGCAATTAAGATAGAGCCAGCACCTCTAAGAAGCAGGTATCAGAATGGAAGGTGTGAAGGGCAATTAGTTAAGTTAACTGGAAGCTGTTAAAGGAGATGGATATGGGGTGGCAGGTAATTGAAGATACGTGACTGGTCTCAGGACCTCTAAGAAGCAGGTATCAGAATGGAAGGTGTGAAGGGCAATTAGTTAAGTTAAATGGAAGCTGTTAAAGGAGATTGTTAAGGGGGCAGGTAATTGAAGATACATGACTGGTCTCAGGCATCTCGAAGGGTGGTGACTAAAATCTTTTTCTTCTTTTGTCTGTAGCTTCTCTGTAACTTGTTCTCCAAAAAACTGTATAAATTAAAAGACACAAGCCCCACTCGGGGGGCTCACTTCTAAATGTATTAGCAGAGCAGCTTTGCTAATAAAACAGAGTGGTCTGATAAATTGTGAGTCTGAGTCAAACTTTGACAGTATCCTCTACCAATTCCCACCCAGACCACACTTTTCCAGGGGTCTCACTGTGACACATACATATACACGAACACTTAACTGAGTAGAAGACTCAACCGCTTTTCATCAGAAAATATTTATTTAATGCGTAACTCCCGCCATTATTACAATTACTGCGTTTTAGTACCGTACAATTTGCAATACCACTTCTACACAAAACATGACAGTGTGTCATACCATGAAGACATAAAATGTCCAAGGATGTTCAGAACGTTACTGTTCTTAAACCTTCAGCATAAATAGCAAATATTTAAATTGCATAGAAATAATTTAACACTCATCAGAAGAGAGCCCTACAGAGTTTGCAGAAACTTCAGCTAGTGACTGGAAGCCACATTTTCACAAAGATTGCTTTTCTAGGAAAGGAGAATAGCTGCTAGTCTGTTTCGCCTAATCAAGCAAATGATTGTGTGTCCCAGGGGCATGTGTCTTGGCAACACATTTCAGGACAGGAGCAAGTTACTGTGCTTGTTCCAATGGGATTTCGTTTTGTAATCCTACATAGTTGTGGGCACAAAGGCTAAATGCTTGGCAGCTCCAGAATCCGAAGCTCTGGTTATTCACAAGCCTGCAGGCATCCTGCACATCCCCAGTGTGAAAGGCCCAGCTTCACAGTACTATCCATCTTGAGCTGCTCAGAGTACCTGAGGTGATGGCTTATTGAGAATGTGGACTCCATTAACAACAAGCCATCTCTTGAGCCACGACTGCCGCATTGTCCCTTCAGGTGATCAGAAAGATCTAAGGTGCTGAACAAAAATACCTAGCTGTTGAAGAGCGAAACAGAGCTGTATTAATAAATACATAAATAAGCACAGGTTGTAAGAACTTTGTGGAACCGTTGAAGTTGAAGGGAGCGGGGGCTGCTCTATCAGATCTTCAAAAGAAGAGAGTTCGCCCTGGCTAGTTGTCCAGCCTCAGGTCCCCATTCTCTCTCGCCCTGGTTTCCCCTTGTGCACACAGGTAGTTGGTGTTGTAGTTCCTTGTTCATTTCCTCTTCTCCCCTCACAGCTTGTTAGATTTACTGCAAGAGGCAGGCAACAGAAAGCACGTTACAAGTGACATCCGGACAGACCTCAGCTGGACTCATTTCTGCTCTGGCCTTCCCCCTCTGCAGGCTCGGAGCTTGCATTCCCTGCGCACTAGCCTGCGCCTGCCCCCCGGGAGCTGGGTGTGTCACAAGGAAGAGCGGCCAGTGCTGATCCAGCTCCGATCAATGGCATTTAGTGGCAGGGACCCCACCAGCCACAGGTCGCAGCCCTGTTTAAGGGCGAAGAGTACAGACACTTATTTACACTCCTCTATCTACATGACACCTGGGCTTAGTTTCTCCCCCGATAACGGAGCCGGACAGATGGGGCCAGCTGGGCCAGCGGATTGTAATCAGAAGGATCCACTGGTTAAGACTCAGTGGCCCATCTCGCCCCTTGTCCCCGCAACCCGGAGCCCTGCTTCAGCCTGAGTCTGCCGCCCACGCTCCCGTGAGCCGGGAGGGCGGGCACTAGGGCTGGCCCAACACCAACAGCCGCAGGCCCAGGGCAGGTACCTGCTCAGGATCTTGGTGACGATCAGCTTGACCCAGGGCGCGCTGGGCTCCAGACAGATTTTCTTGCCTTGCTTCGTGGTGGCTCTGCGGGGAGGCAGAGGGGAGAGCGGGGTGAGCGCGGGGCTGGCGGGGAGGGGGCGCGGGCTGGGAGGGGGCAGCAGGGCCCGGACACTTACATGATTTCTGGCACCCCGCAGTGGGGCCCCTCGGGGATCAGCTCCACGAGGGCGATGCGCTTCGGGGGGATCACCGCGGACACGGTCTGCACGCATTGGCACCGCAGCTCGCCGGCCATGGGGGCCCCTGTCAGGGGAGGGGGAGAAAGACTCAGCTCCTGCCGGCGGCCAGATACTCTGCAGGGGGGCGGCCGGGGACACCCCTCGTCCCACACCCTGGGTCCGATCCGTGCCCCCGGGACTCCCCGCATCCGGCCGGCTCTCGGACACCTGGGTCCCATCCACCCACCCCGGACACCCTCCGCATCCGGCCGGCTCTCGGACACCTGGGTCCCATCCACCCACCCCGGACACCCTCCGCATCCGGCCGGCTCTCGGACACCTGGGTCCCATCCACCCACCCCGGACACCCTCCGCATCCGGCCGGCTCTCGGACACCTGGGTCCCACCCACCCACCCTCCGCATCCGGCCGGCTCTCGGACACCTGGGTCCCAGCCGTCCTTCCAAGCCCCAGTGGGAAGCGAGACTCCCCCAGCCCGGATCCCAAGGCCAGCCCGGCGCAGCGAGCCCCGTACCCCGGCAGAGCGCGGCGCAGGCCGCCAGGAGCAGCAGCAGCAGCAGCAGGGGGCGGCCGAGGGCGAAGCTCCGGGGGCGGCTCATGGTCCGGGCTGGCGGCGGAGGCTGGTGCTGGGCTGCTGGGCTGGGCTCAGCTCTGAGCCACCGCAGCGCCCCGCAGTCGCTTTTATCCCCGCGGGGACCCGGCCGGGAAATTCCCGGGGCAGAGGGGGCGGAGCGGCCGGAGAAACCCGCTTCAGCCGGGCTCCGCCTGCCCCGGCCCCGCGCCAAGGGCTGGGCTCGGGGACCGGCCCGGGGGCCGGGATCCCCGCCCGGAAGTCCCCGAGCGGTGCGGCCGCAGCTCCCGGCTCCCATCCCTGCAGCCAGCGCCCCGCTGCCGCTCAGCCGGGCCAGCGCCCGCCGCAGGAGAGCGGAGCCCGCCGGGTCCCGCACGGGCCGGCCGAGCAGCAGAGGGGGAGCCAGGGGAGGAGCGAGCACGGGGGGCTTTGAGCTGCGCGTGTTCTCGGAGCCCAGGGGGGCCACACGGGGCTGACCCGCGAGATGGAAAGGCTCGGTAGAGGCCCCCTCCCCGTGCCCACTCACTCTGTGCCTACCGGACTGGACAGGCCTTCTGCCCTGCGCTGGGGTGGGCGAGGGGCTTCTGCCAGCGCTGTCTTACCCTCAGGGGCCCCTCCCTGCGCTCCCAGGTGTTGGCTGCAAGCGGAGAGCTAGCGGCAAACAGCGGGAAGCTGCAGGGAGGGGCCGCTGCTTTCGCTCCGCGGGGGAAGGCAGCGGGTGTCCCTGCAGCGCCCAGCTGTTTGCAGCAGCCTCTTGCCAGGCCACAGCGCCCAGCTCGCTGGTTCCAGCCGCTGCCCTGCAGGGAGGGCACCCGGTGGCACCATGTGACCGAGCAGAGTCAGGAAACCCTGGCAAGAGTCGGGGGGGGGGGCATGTGACCCCCACGTGCCCTCCTGTGTCACCTCTGGCTTCTGCCCAGCGGAGGAGGTGAGGGGGGGGGGGGGTCTTGGGGCTTCAGCACGCCTGCTGAACCCTCCCCACCCCGCAGGGCTGAAGCCCCAAGCCCTGACAGGCGCCTCCTGGGGTTGCAGCGCTGGGCCCCGGCAGGAGCGACCTGGCTCCTGGGCTTCTGAAGATTGTCACATGCGGCTGTGAGGGTCAGGAAGTTTGGCCACCCCTGTCCTAGTCAGTGAATCGCCCTGTGGGAGGGGAAGGGGACGGAAACTGGGCACGGCCACCAGCCTGGGGGGTCTGAAATATGCCCAGTCTTATTATTTCTAAGCTTGAGGGGGGAATGAAGACACAGGTCAACCCAGAATCCTGCTGGCGTTTGTGTCCTTCAAACTCCTTCAAGTCCAGAATCGGTGTCAACCCTGAGCAAAGTCTCACGTCTCTCGGGGGAAGGGGTGAGGAGAGCTCTGGGGTCAGTTTGGAGAAGTATTTCCTTATACACAAGTCATTTTACGACTGGATGAATATGTAATTACAAGAAGATAGGCTGCCTTGCAGTGCAGAGAGACAGACCTTGTACCCCTTGTGTAATGAGGGCAGGAGCAGAGCCGCATAGTGCACATAGGGTTTGGCCTGTCTGCATCAGGCTAAAGGGGATGACGCCATTGATCAGATTCTGCCCTTGGTTTCAGTGAAGCCAGTCTGGGTGAACAGGTGAAGCAGAGGGCAGCTTTGTCCCTCGTGTTCATGTACTGTCTCCAGCTAACTCCCTGCTCAGGCTAGTTCGTGGGATCTTAGTGCCTGTTGCTGCTCCGTTCAGTGGCATAGCTTTTTATTAGACCTCTAATGCTCCCTTTATGAAACTACGTCACTTATTCTAACACTGGCCAACAGCATTAGCACGATCAATCTGCACCATCAGCAGTATTTGCTATAAAGCAGTGTGGGCCCTGTATTTTAAGATGACTGTGCAGGGTTTTTTTTACATCTGCAGGCTCACGCTCTCCATAATTGCAAAATGTTTACAGGAAAGGAGAAGCTAAGAATGTAAACATGTTGGTGACATTCGGGAGGTCATGTATTTATGAGCCCAGCAAGCACAGTTAGCTGTTACATTAATCCAGGGGTCTTGCCCCGGGATCTGATGAGGAGCTCAGATTTCACTGTTATCTATTGAAGCTAAAACTCCACATCTGGCTTATTGCAAATGACTGGAAGCACATAGTAGGAGGGGGGAAATCCTTCTTCCCAGATCATTGACACAACCTTATTATTTGTTTATATTACAGTAATGCCTAAAATGTAGTTTACCAGTGAGTGACTCTGTGTCATCTGACAGCTATGGCACCCCTAAACATTTCTTACTCTGCAAACTTATGGGCAAATTACAGCAACACCTGAAAATGACCAGACATTCATAACTGGGGGAACAGTTTTACACACACACACACACACACACACACACGTACGTAGCTGTGCACTAAAAAAACCCCAGTAATGATGCTATGATGCATCTTCCAAAGCTAAAAGTCCACATCTGGCTTATTGCAAATGGCTGGAAGCACATAGTAGAAGGGGGGAAATCCTTCTTCCCAAGTCATTGACATAACCTTATTTATTTATTTATTTATTTGTTTACTTTGTCTTTCCATGGAATAACTGTATTTCCAGCAACAGCTTGGTAAAGTCTCACACAGCTGAACGGAAGTTTGGCAAGACCTATTTTGACGTGTGGTACAGTCATTGCTGAACAGTTCCCATCCCATGTGGGGCAAAATATGCCAGTGCATTTTTTTGAGGAAAAATCATTCTTACTACGTCAGCTGACACTTACTTACTAGAAGGCTCATCCCGAAAAAATGGTGTCCGTAACTTGCCTTTTGGTGAATTCCAATAGGATTCAGCTTTAATTCATCAGAGCTTCTGTTTAAGATGCATTTATTATTTAAAGGTGAAGTTAAGTTTCAGGTGCCCTCCGGGAATGAGGTAATCTTAACTCGTGAAAGAGGCAGCAGCAACTCATTGCATGAAGGAGCTAAAAGACACCCTTGGGAATTGCTTAATTACATCTAGAAGGAAGTCCTCCTTGATCAACAAACATGACTTGTCACCCAACATGTAACTTAGCAATATTATTCAGGGAGTAGGAGCCTATTTCCTTCCAGTTCACTTTCCTGTGTTGTAACTAACTAAACCCATTTGTTGTAATGCAAGGCAGAAGGACAATTATGACGTGTCAAAATGTCTTAATCCTGTGACCGAAGTGTCTAACTTGCCCAAGAATTAACCTGGACCTTGGCCTGAAAGTTAAATCTGCCCTGAACTACTTTTGATGCCTTGTACGAACACCTACCACACACTGAATGACGGAGACATTAGAGATGTACTGAGAGTGCAAAAATGGTGGATAAACATTTGCTTGAACTGAATTCCCTTCAGTCAGGTTTATGCCCATTCTGCGTTCACTTTCCATGACTGTTGGAGCAACAAGATTGCAGATTTTTCTGATGTGCATCTAAGAAGAATTTGAGACGTGGGGATATTTATGCCAGTAGGGCTTGTGTAATCCACTAGTGAGTGTGTTACAGGTCCCCCCTGGCCATGCCCCGTCTACATAGGATAGGAGTCTACTCCAGGCCTAGCTAGGGGGCTTTAGCTCAAGCTGCAGCAGCTCATGGTTATTAGCTCTGAAGATCCCAGGTCCAACACCGGTTTTGTCAGCCAAGATGGTGGCTGTCACATCAGAGCCAGGTTCTCCAGTGGAGGCAATAACAGACTCATTACCTCTGTGGATCAGGCACAGTGGGGATCTATAACAAGGTCCTGATATCTTCCCCCTGGCTAGCGAGGACAGGCAGGTGCCATCCCTTGTATAGGAAAGTACGACGGTATTCTAGAGCACGGTTCCAAAACCGCTCATCTGAGAGTCAGGACAGTGGAGTGATGCAGTGTCTGGGGATAGGACTCCACAGCTCTGTTCCCCACACTGAACCAGATGGACTGGAGTCAGGATACCAACAGTATCGCGCATAAGGCGATTTTGCTGCCTGATAGCAGAGCAAGGTGAGGAGTCCTTCCCCAGAGCCACATGAAATACCCTGGGTGGTGCTCCTCCCACAAGGCAAGACCTACTTAACACAGACAGCCCTTTTGAGGAGGAGGTGTGGCCCACTGACTGGTCAGAACACGAGCAGGCCCTGTGCTTTGTGTCCTCCCACAAAACGTACCGAACCAAGGAGAAGGCATCCCAGTTGCACAGCTAGGTGGTGAACCAACACAAGGCAACAAACATAACGTCCTTGTGGGAGAGACACCAAAATGATTCCAGTGATGAGAAAAGGAAAGGGAGGGAAAGAATGAGCTAATAATAGTAACTAGATCACTCCATGTAAGTTGGATCACGGTGTGCAACCACAGAAGCCAGAGCAGTTAGCCAGCAAGAAAACACCAACTATTAAACCACAGTTCGGAAAATAAAATGAGCACATTACCCTGGAGCCAGAGCCAGGAATAGTAACGTTACCCAACTATCCAGCATGGGCCGGCTAGTAGCCAAAAGGAGGCTGAGTGCCTGAAGCCTGCCAGGGAGTTGTAGGCAGGCAGAGGTGACACAGCTTCTCCAAATGCAATGGGTGAGGGAATGGGGGTGGGGAAGGAAAGCCAAGCCAAGCGGGGAAGCTGGGTTTGGATAAAGGGATGCATTCAAGGAATCTCTCCATGCCAAGAGAAAGGAGATCTCTCCACATCCCCTCCCTCATAGGTGTCTCCTCTCTCTTCCCACCCCATGTCCAGCTTTCTGGCCTTAGCTCAGGTGGCTGAGCCCCCCGGTGCTTCTCCAGCTCTGAAATTTGAATAAGCTCTTGTAGCGGGAAAATCTTCTGCCTGAGTGGGAAGCTTGTTTGCTTCTGTCTCCTCCCCTTTCCCTGTTTTAGGTTCATTCTTCCTTTTCCCCCCTCCTCTGCTTCCCTTGCCCTTGCTGTTTTGTCTCACGCACATCATCCCTGCCCTGCCTGTCCCTCTCCCATCCCCTTTGGTCTCCCCACTCTCCATATCTGCTTCTCACTGCCTTCTTCCCATTCCTCCACTTCTGATCATCCCTAGCTGGATCCCCCTTCTCCTTCTCCCGGGCCCAGGCTTGTTCTCTTCTCCAATCCACTCGTCCATGGTTCTCCCAACCCCTTCCCATTTGTGCTACTAACCTGCTCCCTTCTCCGCCCTGTCCACCCCCAGTTATGTGCTCTTTCCTCATCACACAAGAGCCCTGCACATGCCTCTCCTTCCTGTTAACTGGGTGCTGCTTTTTGAGCTGCCTGATAGCAGAGTAAGGTGAAAAGAAAAGGAGTACTTGTGGCACCTTAGAGACTAACCAATTTATTTGAGCATGAGCTTTCGTGAGCCACAGCTCACTTGGTGAGGAGCTCTTCCCCGGGTGGGGCTGCTCCTGCATGGCAAGA